CCAGCCTGGAGCACATCTGAATGACTGCAGTGCTGCACATTTGCCCCCCTCATGGTCACGCTCTTGTTGTGTGTGGACACTGTAAGAGATGCATGCTGCAAACTCTGTTGCCCTCCAACACACATGCATTTATAAGCGCACATAAACAAAAGCAGCTCACACGGAGCACAGAAAAGTGATTTATGGAGAACGGAGCTTTGCAGCCTTGTAAGGTGCAGACCATACAACCTCAGAATGCCAGCTGGCTTCCTGGTACTGAGGAAGATGATGTCTGGGTAACAGCATCCCTGCAGCAGAACTGGCCTGAGCTGGATCCTTCACCCTCTTACATAAGAAACCCAACGAGAATAAAGGCAAAGGGGAAGGAGGAGGAGGAAGACCCAAAATGGAAGGAAGAGGAGTGTTTTTTGGAATTCGACAGTGGGATTGAAAGGAAGGAGAAGATGTAAGTTGGGGTGCACATGTTAGATGTAGCAGAGGGATCAGGCTGGAGCTCTTGAGGAAGGGTGGCATGGAAATATATCAGAATAACAAGTTTTAAAGGAGTGACAGAGAGAGAGAGTAACTAGAAAGACAGAAGGGTGTCGAGGAGGAGACAGCGACAGCATCCTTTCTGTGCTGCGCAAAAGCAAAATGCCAGAGGCCCTCCCCGTCTTTCTCCCTTTTTAATGTCACTCAGTCTGAAAACAGTGTCATAGTGCATGCAGTGTGGGGTTTTGCATGCATGTTTGATCATGCGACCATGTGCTTGGCCTATGGCAGCGTCCAGTTCACCAGTCTGCCAAGTCACATATGAAAAGCAGCCCATGCATCTGAGAAAAGAGGGGAGGGACAGGATGGAAGAGAGTCAAAAAGTCACTAGTGTTCAGGACATGAGCGTCCAGCTTCTTGTGCACTTGACTCCACTATGGCTTTATTGGTTCTGTCATCAGAACGTACAAAGAAATACAAAACGATAAAGGAGGAGCAATTTCTTCGATTTGCTAAGCGAGTGAACTTTTCACCTTTTGTCTCCTCGGTCCTCTGCGTTCATGCTCAAATTTAACAGTGATGTGCAACCATCTTTATTAGGGATGTGAAAGAAAAAGCATCACCAAGTTGGTCAAAAAGCAGGAGTCAGAGGTAGTTCTGTGCCACTTTATCAGGTGAATGTGCAAAAAAACTGATGAGTCATCACTCTGTAGTAAGTCACGTTCAGACAGCTGCTGCAGGAATCAAGGCAGGAAATGACAGAAGGACAATCTGGAGACAGAAACATGGAGACAGGCAAAGGATTCTGCAGGGTGTAAATCTCCAACCAAGGACAAATCAAAAGCATTTAATTAATAAGGACCATTTATGCCGGGAGCAGAAATGAAAATAAAAAATAAAAGATATCTTGTACTTCAACACTAATTTTGAAGAGGTAAATTTATACTTTAAAAATCTTCTTTAATGTAACTATATTTGATGTGGATGTATTTTAAAGTTGGAAATATTGATGCAGTCTAGACAAATGTCCTGCACACACGGACTTGTCTAAATTTAGACAGAAAGGGAAGCTGTTTAACATTCAGCGGTGACGCAGCAGAGTAGTCAGGACCAGTTGCATTTTATTCTGGTGCACTGCTGCACTTTCAGCTTTATTTTGATTCTGGAAAAAGTTGCTTCTCTGCTGCTCAAAGGTCAGCCATGGAGGCTGAAGCTCGCAGAGATCTTGACCAGTAAAGTTGCAAACCAATAGCTAAAAAAAAGTGAACTCAAGAAAAGTTTGGTTTTACACCAGATACCCTTCCTGATGCTGCCTGGGCACAAACCTGCAGCCCCCCCCCCCCCCCCCAAGCTGAAACTCACTGTAAAAGGACCTAAATCTTACAAATAAAAGATGATCCGAGAGTATTTGATACTGTACAGTAAACTTGTTTATATTTCTTTTTTTCTGTTCCTACAAAAAAGATTTTCAGAGTCTGTTTTATTCTCAGTCTGACAGTTAAACCTCTATTTTACATTTAATAAGGTCCACACCAGTGAGAGCAGGATGCTGTATCTGATCCTAAAACACTCCCTTTACAGTGTCACAGTGTAACTCACTCCGACTTAATAGAGAGAACACGAAGCCCAGAATATCCAGTGTCCTTTATGTGCTATGTAAATACTCTTGGTAGGTTATTTGTGGAGGTTGTTAAATCCGCCGTGTTAAAATTATGCTGAGGCTAACGCTCCCTGTAACTAACAATTTGATGTTTAGCTTTAAGCACGAAGAGGAAGGAAAGAACTTTGTGAAAGCCGACTGTTTAAAAAAAAAAAAGATGGAGACAACTTGGAAAGAATGTCTGAAAGCTTTGTGACCTGGCAAAGGGATGTGTTTGTGTGCCTTTAAATACACATCAGCCTCCCATAAAACACGCAGCCTGTCAGGTGAGACGACAGCACTGATCGTTGCTGCAAAGCCCACAAATTAGAATAAGCTTTGTGTGTGTGTCACAGCTGTATGAATAACACTGGAAGAGAAGAATAGATTAAAACGACACTGATTTTGTGCTGGTGTGTGTTTTCTTGTCACTGAGAAACTTCAAACTTTACACACAACTATTTGTAGTGATGCTCTAGGCGCATTGTTTGTGTGTGTATCATTGTGTGTCACACCTCGTTGGAGGCCTGATAGTGAGTTGTTCTGCTCCACATCTTTCTCCACATTTTAGATTTTCTGTAAAGGTGCAGCTCTGTCAGTTCTTCGGCAGCAGACTTGCTGAATGAGACCAAAAAATCAAAAGTATGTACCTTATTTGACCTTCCACAGTGAGTAAATGAAAGGCTGCTGATTTGAGCTCTTTATAGAGTTGGGAGAGTTTGTGTGTGTGTGTGTGTGTGTGTGTGTTGTTGTTTTTAATCTATGGTTATGAGCTGCTGTTGGTGGAGCAGGATGTGCTTGGTTTCTGCGTTCAGAAAGAATTCAGTGCCTGATTGTCTGTTGTTTCACAGATAGATGATGTGGGAATGACTGACAGCTCGGCTCTGAAGCTTTCCAAACATTTATGACTCATTGTCTTTCTCTCTCCTTTTTGCCCTCCCCTTCACCATTTCTATTCTCTGTCCCTTGTTCTGCCTGTCTTCTTTCTGTTTCTCTCTCAGAGATGGCGTTTCCACCTGCCCTTCTGCTGCTCGTCACTGTTGCTCTACATGTCAGTGGTCAAAGTTTGGCGGAATTCGAGACTCTCCCGACAGGCTGCGGCTGGGGTCTCGGGCGTCCCTACACCCTCCTCTGTGACCTGGACTCCATTTGGGGTGTAGCTGTCGAATGTGTGGCTGCTGGTGGGACGTTGACTGCCATTTTACTTGCCTTAGTCCTGCTGTGCCGTTTACGGCACATCAACGAAGGCGAGAAGTGCAGTGGCGTGGGACCCATCCTCCTGCTGCTCCTGGGCATCATCGGCTTGTTCGGCCTCAGCTTTGTTTACCTGATTGAGCAGGACGAGTCTCTCTGTCTGATCCGCAGAGCCTTGTGGGGCCTCCTTTTTGCTGTCTGCTTCTCCTGCTTGCTGGTTCAGGGCGTCCGCCTGCACAGGCTGGGCCAGGAGCATCGAAGCCCCAGTGGCTGTGCGCTCATAGGCCTGGCGCTGGGTTTGAGTGCTGTGCAGGGCATCATCGCAGCCGAGTGGCTACTTCTGACCGTGTTGAGGGAGGGGAGAGCTGCCTGTCAGTACCTGCCTTTAGACTTCTCATTAGCCTGCAGCTATGTGGTGGCCTTGCTACTAGCTGCAATGATTGCTGCTTCTTTGGGCCTGTGCGGGAAGACACGTCAGTGGCGATGCAGCGCAGTCTGGCTGCTGGTGACCTGCCTGCTGTCTCTACTGCTGTGGGTGGCATGGATGGGCTTCTATCTGTACGGCAACGCCTGGCTTGGCAAGTCTCCTGAGTGGAATGACCCAGCTCTGGCAATAGCTTTGGTGGCTCAGGGCTGGCTGCTGCTGATATTTCATGCCATTCCTGAATCCCACATCTGCATGAGACCCCCACCACAACCAACCGCCCCAGACTACTTTGACACGTCCCAGAACTCAACACGGATGAGAGAGACGAGCTTTGACGAAGACATCCCTCTTTCTCACCGGCAGTTTGTGGAGAACCAGGGTTATGGCTACAACGACGAGAACACTGCAGGTACTGCAAGGTTTTAAAGAGGACAAGCGTATCATTTTTGTGGATAGCTTGAAGGAAGAATGTGTGCCAGCATGAGGAATAGACCCCCAAAGCCATAGAAGCTAGAAATAAGACAACATTTCTGCTGTGTAGGAAGTGTTTCTTCACTCAGTCGAAAAGTGAAGTGATGAGAAGATGAGTAATCTCTGTTGGCCTCTGTCCATTTCAAACCAGGCTTGAGGAGCGGTGGTGGTGGTGGTGGTGGTGGTGGTGCTGGGCAACACAACAGTAACACTGGTGCCAGGCCCAGTGCTCCCTTCCGCAGCAATGTCTACCAGCCCACAGAGATGACCATGATCCTGAACGGGGGAGCGGTGAGTACAGCCTCCCAGTCACAGGTACACGTCGCTCACACGCCGCTCTCTCATTCGATCATCCCGACGAGACTGCATGCACATTTGTGCCTTCTGAGTCACGAGTCAGTGCACAAGAATGAGGGGGAGGTGTGTGTTTGCATGTGCGTGTGTCTGTTATATATTGCTGGGCACATGCACGGGTGGGTTTGTCGCATGTGGTCAGTCATCCCACGGTGATTTGTTTTGAGATTGCAAGGGAGCCTCGCTGCAGTTAAAGAACCTTTAAATCTGATTTATCCACTGAGTAATACAACTGTCCACCGAACTGTCACACTCTTCATTTTACAGGATGAGTGTGTCTTCTGGCTGGCACAGGTCAACCTCTTTCCAACCAGTGGGCCATGAATTGAAATCTGCCACTATACAGCAAAACATCTCACACATACAAGGGAGACTGGGATCAGTTCACTGACTCAAGCTTCTCTGTTTTGCTCTCTTCAGTTGGAACTAGATTGGTAATTAAGCCAGCAAAGATGGAACAGAGACTTCTTAAGCTGCTTTGCATAAAATATTAATAGTTTGCATGAACAGCATTTATGCTGATCAAAGTGAGAGACAAGGCCTTCATTTATATCACATGCCGACAATACTCACAAGGTTTGAAGGAATAACATATACTAACCAAGAGGCAGTTCTGAACATTAATATACAAAATTGAAAGATAATGTAAAAATAAAAAGCACAAACAATAGAACAGAAACATTAACAGTGTTAAAGCAAGAGAGAGAAAACAACAAATGAGTAATCACTTTGATAAAGTTCCCATTTATTAAAACATCTTGGACTGTTACCAACTTTTTGTCTTGTATTATTATTTCATGCTTATAAATTAGGTTCTGTAGAAAAGTTATGAGCAATTATACCTTATCTGTTGTAGATAGCCTAGGTTAGTTTGGATTGGATTGAAGAGCTACTGGCTAGTCTGAGTGGGGCCAAGTCCAAAGTCCTGGTCCCACTGTCTTATATCAGCTGCAATGTCAAGAATTTTGACTGTTTTGTAAACATTTACTTCAAATTTGCTTTGCATGTTTTTTAGAACCATCTATTTTTTGCATACATGTGTATCAGCAAAAGCAAAGAGTTGTAGCATATTTCTGCTGGAAAAAGATCTGGTATTTTAAGTGACAGTGGTGTCAAGGTTTATAAAAATATATATGTGTGTACTAATATGGTTTTACCATATTAGTAAAGCCAAAGTTTAATCAGAAATAGCTTTGAATCAAACTTTTTCAGAAATGAAATCAAAGTGATGGTGAGGGAGATAAAAACCAGACGTGATGTCATTTTATGTGTTAAAATAGTGGTCGACAAATATCTACAGATAGAGGTGTATCGCTGCTGCAGTGATTAAAGTGGGGCAGAAACACAAAGAAAAGCTAACATCGATAGAAATAAAAGACAAAAACAGAAAATCCTTTTACAGCACTTTAGCTTTGGCAACAATTAAACAGCAAAGTTACACACACGGCTGAATGCAAAGTTGTCTCAAAGTGCAAAGTTCTGAGTAAACAAGCAGAAAAATCAAAGATTTGATGAATAAATAGATTTAAAAATACAATTAAATGAAGCATGGAGTAGCAGCCACATGGTTTACACTGTGTAGATATAAATGACTGAAGACTGTAATGAAAAAAATAGTAAAGAGGAAAAAATGTCATTTTAGAAAAAAGCTAATGCCATCAAAGTGAGAGGTGTAATCTGGTGTGAATGGAACCCATGTAGCTCAGTGTGTGCAAATATATGACGTCATGCAAACTGCTCATCATTTACAGCCTTTTTCTCCACCTTGCAGGTGCCCTCCGCCCCTCCTACCTACACGGGAAGGCAGCTGTGGTGAAAAGAAGATGTGCAACAGAGAATGAGGAGAATAGAATAGATGGGGGGTGACGAGGGAGGGGGTCCAGGACTGGATTGGACTTTTGGTGGCATGGATGCCTGCAGGGCCCTTTCAATCTGTGTACAGACTTTAACACTGACTCTGTGCCAATCAAGTATTGAGTGAATGTGTGAGACTGGGACAAAGCAGGACATGGAGGACAGAGCTGAAACTTTTCCTGCTCACAAACGCACCACAAAAGAGGTGGAAAAACTTGAAGCGTGTCCAGCAAGAAGTAAAATAGAACAACTGCTGACTTGGGTCTGAAATGATCAACATGCAGTATCATTTTTATACAATTTGCTCCAGCATCGTAGGCATACTTGAAAACTGTGAAATCTACCGCTTCATCCGGATTTAGCTCTCATCCTGTCAGGAAGGATGTGTTTTGTGCTGCTCCTTACAATGCTGGTGCTCAAGTGGAAACGTTTGGCTCTGTCCTCCATCCATCCACACCGGGCATGTAAACAGAGCACACATGTAAAACTCGAGCACAGCCCTCTTCATGACTATCCAGCCTCTGTCGGTGTCTATGTACAGAATATAAAAGAAACGTGTGTTCTCAGTCAAACTCTTGTCATCCAGGTTGCCCACACTGGTGTTTTTTCCTCCATTTCTTTGTTTCTGCCACTGCTCTGTCTGTGATTTTAACGCCTCACACTCTTCACCTTGTGTCATCCTCCAACCTACATGGACACATTGAAAAATACAAACTGTGAAGCCTGAACCGGGGAGGAAGTTCCCGTGTTTGCAGGCACAACAAATGCAGTCCTGCACCTGCACGGAGGGATCACATGCTGCTAACCGAACTGCACGCTGGAGCAGAGCGTGATACGACTGGAGGAAGAGGCCGTCAGTCATCAGCAGGGGCGGCGCAGCGATGGGAATCTAGGTCAGCCCGCCGTGCTCGCCACTGGCAGATCGAAGGAGCCAGGACTGTCACGTTAGATCAGCAGGAAGCAGAGCGAGCAAGTAAAACGAAAAACAAGCATCTCGCTCTTAGTTCTGTGTTTGTAAGTGTTGTGATTTTTATGAGCGTTGGCGGAGAAATTCAAAGTCCAAGTTGTTGTTTTTTTTCTTTAATGCTAAATTTTCACACAACTCTCCGGTGAGCTGTAACAAGAAGAACACTAGCGTGGGTAGTCACACTGTGAGTGACAGGATATAAATCTAGAGCTGTGGCTGCTGTGTGGAGATAAGTCTGGAGCCTCGGAAAGATCAGATCTACAACTGTGGAGAAGAAAGAGGAAGATCAAATAAAAGAGGAGGAGAGGGAAGGTGGGGAGGGGGTCTGACAGGTGTCTAGATCTTCACTCAGCTCCTTATATAAAATGAAAATGGCTCCCTGGCCTGCCGTTGTGCATGAAGTCGTAGCTACTGTTAGTGGTTGTCTTCTTTATCTCATGGAGAAACTCTCGTCCTCCTCCCCACCTCCCTCCTGCCTCTCTGTGGTCAGTCACTGTGCCAATAAGGACTCCTTCTTCCACTGGAGTCTATTTTACACACATTTACTTCATTGTCTCACCAGCTATCACCAGAGGAACTGTGTATATAAAGTACTGCTGAAAGGCTTTGCTTGCTTGTTTCCCTTTTTTTAAGTTGTAGGCAGAGTTCGGGCATCATATTTTATTTTATTTTATTCTTCTATTGCTTTATGTTCACACTCTGCCTTTTGTTCCATATGCTTTATTTTACTTTTGCTCGTGTCTTTATTTTTATAACCAGTTTGGTTTTTTTTTTGGGAAGGTTTTGCCAGAACTAGATATGCTTCTACTTTGTTTTAATGTTGATGGAATTGATGCGAGTTTAAATAGATTTATCCTAATTTTACCCTCAGTTCTCAGAAGACAGCGGAGGGAACAAACACGTGGATTTTATGAGTTTTCATAAAAATGACAATAGCTGTGAATAACTTTGGCACTTCATGCAGTAAACAAAGACCAGTTTGTAATAAAGGGTAACAATAAAGAGCAGAATATGGTGGGTTACAGTAAATTAAATCTTACCAACAGCCGGTCAAGTGGCCCCTGAACTTACATCAGCCTTTAACGAAGAAAAGAACAGGAATCGACTTGTAAATGCTGCTGTATGTTTATGTCTAAAAAAGGACTGCTACTTGCGAGCCAGCTGCAAACCCAAACACAACTTGCCCACTTCAAGCTGCGTTTGGGCCAAATCTGGCCAGAACCAGATCCATGCAAGAAGAACTGTCCTCAGGGTTTATGTGGTCAGCTGTAAGTTCCAGTACTCAGAGTTCAGGGTGGACATTTGAATTCTTGTGACATTTTCACTTAATGTGGCGTACAAAGAAAAAAGAAAAACAACACGATGTGACTTTGTAGATTTTGCACTTGTCGACTACCTATCTGTGCATGCTTATCACCATTTCTACTTATAAGATCTTTCTCAGACGTACTTTTGGATACTAGCTCTACTTATGTGACAAAAATCATTTCAGTGTATTATCAAATGACACATTTAATGTCTGTGCTTTCAAAAAAAACAAATGTGAGCTGCTTGTCGTGAAGTTAAGAGATAGAAATCAGGGGTTGGTCCAAGATAGTTTGATTCCCCACAAAAGGAAACTACTTCTCATCTACAGTGGACCTAATGATAATTTACTCTGTCTGGGTGTGAAAACTTGAGGGTACAAAAAACGACAACAAAAAAACGAGAATCTTCCTACTGATATCGTCCTGTGTGAAAAACCAAGAAGACTGTGGTGAAATTTGCACAAAACTTCTATGTTAGGTTTGTTGTCTCCGGTTAGCCCATCCTTTCTGGGCTCGACACGTCATGCCTGTCCTCTCCTGATTCGTCTTTCCTTCAGACGGGTCCAGGAGGGTCAGCTTACAGGGGTAATATTGGTTTTCACAGCTATGACTGTGCAGTGATGCAGCATGCATATGTATAGAAACCTAATTCCTTAACTAGAAAAAGATATAAAAATAAAAAACAGCTAATTCTGTTGTTTCTGTAACCAGTTCAGGAAAAAAAAAGTTCAATAAAAGTGTCATGTTTGTAATGAACTTTTAATGAATCTGGTGTTTTATTCTGAAACTTAGTCTTTTCTTTTAATTCTTAAATAAAGACACTGATTCAGGTGGTGTGTCCAGGTGGTGGTGGTGGGGGGTTACCTGCCAACAGGTTAGAACATCATGCATCAAAGGCATTACTTGGAACAGTGCAAGCTGTGTTGGACAACCTTATTACTGTTTCTCTTTACAATTTATACTTTTGTTGGATGTAACTGGGACCCTGTGTAAACAGTTTTGTTCCATCACATGTACCACATGTGGTGCGAATGACAAATAAAGAAACTGACTTTGATCATCCCATCCACATGTGTCAAACTCAAAGCCTGGGGGCCAAATGTGGCCCTTGTTAACATCTTATCTGGCCCCCAAGATGATATGTTAAATGTAAAATGCTTTTTCACTTGAATTTTTTTCAGTATTCTTTGATTATGATGCCAAAAGTGCAACCCCGAACGTCAAATGAGACCAAACTCTTTTTTGAGGAACCTGCAACCAAGAAAAGATGTTAGGTATTTAACCTGAGTTATTGCAGATTCTGAAACTGGCCCTTAGTTTGAAAAAGGTTTTAATTTTGGCCCCCTTTTGTAAGTTAGTTTGACACCCCTGTGTCGGAATTTTACGACTCAGCCCATCAGCCATGTAAACAGGTAAAATCTATCAACCTAGTGTCTTTTTGTTGGTAATTTTTGTTGCTTTCAATTTCCAAGCCAACAAAAAAAAAGTGTCTGCTCTTGCGGCTGTGAGTTCAGCAATTAGTGCTAAATGATCTTGGAGCAAAAAAATCTCCACAACCACTGCAGAGTCATTTGATGCAGAACTCAACAACCTATAGGGGTTAAAAAAATACCCTCCATATTGTTTTTATCCAACAGTGTGGTGCTAATATTTACAATATTTAGAGCTAAATGAAAGATGTGCTTGAGTTTTGATCTCGAACTCAAAGCTTTCTATGTGTGAGCACAGTCGTAATCTACAACCAGGAGTGGAAACTACCAGCTGCTTTCACTGTGACAGCCTGGTGCCACCTCCTCTCTGGGGCTGTGTGATCTGGTTTCAGTTGAGCCCAGTGTTGCCTGACTCTGGAGCTAGCACCAATATCACATGTACCTACTGTAAAAAGAGCTGTTTAATCATCTTACTCAACAGCAGCTGTCTGCCAGGTATCCACATACCGGAGATACATTTTGACCTCTCAAACACCTCACAGTAAGACATCAGAGAAGGGGAGGGTCAATAAATCCTTCCATCATTAAACTGCAGATCATTGTCTCTGGTATACGCTTCGTTTCTGGAGGGATGGAAGTATGCCAGAAGTGCACTTGCCTAATTTATTTGTTATAAACAGTTATAATTTGGACAGTATGAGTATGGCGTGAAGGAGATCAAAGAAGTGCACAGTCTGTTAAGAAACATTGGGGCTTTTTAATGTTTCACAAATTAATTTTTTATAAACTTTCCACAGTCAATTTGTGACAAATGAGAAGATATTTGATCCCCAGCATGTGCAGAAGGCAGAGAGCTAAACGTGTCCTAATTCAGCCAGCACCCAGTCCTGCTGTCATGTGAGACTGTACAATAATAAATCATGCCAACACATTTACACAATATTAGATAAAAGACTGAAGAAATTTGTGCACATTTTGGACAATATTTTATGACAAATAAGGCTTCAAGGCACAAATCAAGCCACATTATTTGATACCGTGAAGTCGTTCTACAGGCTCTTTGCACCCATATCCTCTTTTGTGATTTGTACTGTTAGAGAAAAATAAAATAAATAAAAAAAACCCAAAGAAATATGGTCATCTGTTGAGTTACACACTGGAAGTGCCAAGAAAAAAAATATAAAGTCTGTTGCAGCAGGTGTCCCCGCCTGACAGCCTTATGGGAGAGAAGCTATACGGTGTTCAGTAAGACTCGTGAAGGGAAGTGATCAATCAAAGAAGGAACAGGAGCAATAAAATGATTAGACACAAATCTCAGATCGTAAATTCATGCTTGGCCACGCTCAGCTGCTGATAGGACCTTGTCTTTGGCTTGCATGACTGATCACTTTGGTCAGTTTGTCACCGGAGCAACATTTTATTATAGGCTTAAAACAGAGCAACCCTGAACATGGAGCAAATGACAGTGAACTGTTAGCTTAGCTCGAGTGTTTAGAGCTGAGTCAGGCTGCTTCACATACAGCCAGGGAATTACTCAGTAGTGTGAAGGATGCTTCCTTCCCATTGCACAGGTGGTGGTAGTGGTGGTAGTGGTGAGGGGTGTTTAAGTCACTCACAAGCCTCAGGGGTCATCTGGGTGGTGACGTTCTGGAAGATGTTCCACACTCAAAGCCACTAAAAACACAAAAAAAGGCATTTGATTTGGCATGTTGGTTGTTTTTTTTTTTTAGGGAAATTGAAACTTAAAGATTAACCAGTATACAAAAATATCCAAACACATATTAAAAATAGGTTTTGTGTTTATGAATCTTGCCGTTTTGTAGCATTCCATTTTCCTAAAGTGATTGGATCCTGTTGTCAGACAAATACTGAAATGTTCCCATAAATTCTCTGCTGGGACCAAATTATTTAAAAAATAATTTGTTTAAAAAACAATGACATACATTAAAAGGGAGTTTTATGTATAAAATGTCCATACATTATTCACAAAATAATAAAAAATACATGTTTCTTACGCATTGCTTTAATTAAATATGAGAATTAAGAGATTTAAAATTCATTGTGCTCCGTTTTAATTCACTTTCCTTGTAACGCAAATGTGTTTGGAAATGACACATCCTTGGTGCCACACCATACTTATGACAATAACTGAATGTGAAAAAAGTTGTTGCAATTGTTTTAATTACAGAGTAATTAAAAGTAAATAAGACGTTTCTTGATGCATGCTCAATAATCCAGGTAGAAAAATCCAAAAAAGTTCAATCTAAGTTCTAAGATTGAACTTTTTTGGATAAATAAGACATTATAGTAATGTAATGAACTTATTTTCAGGACTGACTTCATGCTTGAAAACTACTTTAAGGTTTGCACCGACGGTAAACACTGGAAGATCCATGATCTGCTGACGGCAGCACCTGTTCACTGACCTGTCACCATTTGACTTTTCACAGTCGCTCTTTGCTCTATTGTACATTTTCTTCTCCATATCTGAATAATTCTCATGTCAGCCTCTGAAATGGCAGAGGAGGTGTTGCAGGCCGGTCTCTTCAGGTCAAAGATGAGTGCAGCTGTCGCTGGATCAACTTAAATAGGTTGTTTACAGACGGACGGGTGGTTAGGAAGACTTCCCTAAATAATTTTGCTCTCTCTCTCTCTACTTCTGTCCTTGTGCTAAACATGATTTATCTTTCTGTCCGTGCTTGTTTTATTACACCTCAAAACTTTAACACCTCCCTTCCTCTTCTCCTGCTTACTTCAACACTGTTATTTGTTTTCCATTTTAGATTTTATTAAAAGGTCAAAAATGGTTTCCATTCATGCTGGGAGTCTGAGCAAGACCCTCGTGCACTAACATAGTGTGTTACAGATGCACACGCACCCCTCTAGGCCCCCCGCTATTATGTCAGGTCAGCGCAGCGAGGCTGTGGCACCACAGCAGAAGAATGCCTGTAGTCCTGCCATGGCTGCAGCGAGCGCTTTTGTTGTGTGGAATGTGTTAGTGTGGGAACAACCTGCGTTTATGGTCGTGTTGGTCACTGTCTATGGGAGACACTAACACAAATATGATCATTTGTGTTAGTGGTGACAATAAAACAGCAATACCATATAGGCTCAAGTGCACCTCGATGGAAGAAAAGGCAGTTTTCCATTTTCAGGAGGAGCAGAAAACCACAACAATACTGTGGAGTTGGATATATTTTAGTACTTTGTTGTCATTTGGGTTCATCTGGTCACTTGAAAGGTATATTTGTAACGTGTTGTAATAAAGTTTGGTGGGAAAAAAATCCATCAAGTGCTTAATTCTTCGTTAGTGTGCTTTAATTATAAGAATGTATTTAGCGCTGAGGGATGCAGAAACAAGCTTGTGTGCAATCCTCCACCAAACTGCACATGGGTTCAACCCAGTGATGTCATGCAAGTCAAACTGGTTCAAAGGTTGGCTTGAACTAAAAGAACAATCACAGTAGAGTTCTCTATAAATCCATGCTTTTATCATTTGTTTAGAGGCACTGCTTGTGGCAACATTTCCAACAAGCTGGCAGTAACCATGCCCTCCAAAGCCAGTCCATTATTTTTACCATCTGGTTGTAATTTGTAACAAAGAAGTTCTTTGTCCACTCTGACTTTTGTCTTTTCTGTAGTCTGATCTCAACTCTCTCATTAAACTCATCACAAAGTGTGAACACCTTTAGTGCCGTTTAAGTTTTGGGTACTTTTAAGTTTGTGTTTTGAGGTATAAATCATTGAACTTTAAGCCAAGAGACTTTAAACTAGACCTAATTACTTAGGATATATAATAAGTCCTCTATGTTTGTGATTTTAAAGATCTTACTAAGCTTCTTTGAGGATTTACAAACATTGTCCAACACATTTTATTTGGTAATTTTTATTCTAGTAGGAGCTAATTTGGAATCCCTTGGACCAATTTGTGCTCGGGTGCATTCCCAGGGACAAAGTTTAGTCGCTACCCTTGAGCCCTGATGCCAGTCGGTCACATTGGACACGGGTGTGCATTCTCAGCTGCTGCGCTCCGTCCTTCATGTGTGCAAAACACACACATCATCTTATGTTTCTCTCTGCTTCTTCACTCTTATAACTCATCTCTTTCTACTTGTGCACTCCCTGCCCCCACCACTGCCATCTCCCTCACACAAACACAGCCTGAGCCCTGCAGAGATACTTTCTCTTTTTCATTCGGAGTCTGTTTTTATCTCTGCAACTCGTTCTCCCCGTGTGATGCTGCTGCCAGAATCCTCCTCGCTCACCTCAAACATCAAAGCAGTGTTAGGATGAATACTGTACCTCCGCAGCAGTTTAGGTTTGTGACACGATACTGACACAACATTATAGAAGGATGTCTTTGCTTGACTAGGAATGGGTTGAAATCTATGCATTTTTTGGTGATAGTGTAAACATTAATGTATATATGTTGCTGGTTGTTGGCTGCAGGAAAAAAAATCTGTGGTATTATATCACCTGTAAGCCTTGCGTTCAATACCAACGTGTGTGAATCTGTGCACGTGATCACCTCGACGCTCTTGTTGCGCCCAGAATTGTGCAACGGTTTTGGTGATGTCACGGTTCTCCCTCTGCTCCTTCTGCCATCGACGCAGCTCCTGCACATCTGGCCGTGCTCTGATCTATAACAGCACCAGCACACATGCAAAGACAGCACACGCATGGATTCAATTAAACACACATCACTCAAAATGTGATCAGACCACAAGCTACTCTGCACCTATAAGCTCACTCAAAATGTGATCAGACCACAAGCTACTCTGCACCTATAAGCTGATAATGTTTCAAGAATATTTTGCATGTTTTATAAAACAAAATGCCCATAGGAGACACTAAATCTACTCACAAGTTCATTTTAAATATATCAGGTTGACAGTACTTGTATTTTCTAACATATTGTAATACATCACAGCATGTCCTGGGTTTCCCCCGGGGTCTCCTCCCAGTCAAACACACCTAAAGCACCTCCCTAGGGAGGCGCTCAGGGAGAATCCTTGCCAAATGCCTGAACCACCTCAAATGGCTTCTCTTGATGTGGAGGAGCAGCGGTTCTACCTCGAGTCTCTCCCAGATAACTGAACTTGTCACCCTACCTCTAAGGGAGAGTCCAGCTACCCTGCAGAGGAAACTCATTTCAACCACCTGTATTTGCGATCTCATTCTTTCGGACACTACCCAGAGCTCGTGACCATAGGTGAGACTAGGAACAGAGCGAGCGGTAAACAGAGAGCTTTGTCTTATAACTCAGCTTCCTCTTCACCACAATGGACCGGCACAGAGTACGCAGTACTGCAGATGCTGCACCAAGCCGTCTGTCAATCTCAAGCTCCATTCTTGTTTCACCCGTGAACAAAACCCCGAGACACTTGAGATACTTGAATTCCTCCACTTGAGACAGAACCTCACCCTCAACCTGAAGAGAACAATCCACCCTTTTCCAACTGAGGACCATGGCCTCAGATTTGGAGGTGCTGATTCTCATCCCAGCCGCTTCACACTCGGCTGCGAACCGAGAGCTGAAGATCACGGCACAATGACGACAACAGGACCACATCATCTACAAACAGCAGAGATGGGATCCTGAGACCACCGAACTGGAAACCCTCCGCCCACTGGCTGCACTGAGAAATTCTGTCCATAAAAGTTACGAAAGAATTGGTGACAAAGAGGAGCCCTGGAGGAGTCCAACTCCCACCCTGAAGGGGTCCAACTTACTACAAGCAATGCAAACCAAACTCTCTCACTGCTTGTATAGGGACCGAACAGCCCGTAACAACAAGCCCCCAGTGGAGTTACAAACACCCATCCAATTTTATGTAGCCATGTAATGCAACAGTGACATCATTGCAGAGGTTTGTAAAACAATATTTGCTTGAATCGTTGCGAGTCATTGGCAGAAACCTACTTTAATCTTAGCCCTGCTCACATTAGCTGTTAGCTCATTTATCTGGACAGAAATAAACTTTATTTATCACAACCCATGTTGTTTAAAAGAACGATTCAATTCAATTCAGTTTATTACTATTGCGCCAATTCACAGCAGGAGTCATCTCAGGGCATTGAACAGAAACATTCATAAACATAAATAATAAGTTAACATTATGTATCTGAGGAGCAGACAGCTTTGAGTTTAACTCTATCGCAAAACTCTCATCTTGAGTGAGCATGAAGGCGACAGTGGAAAGAAAAAACTCCCTCATGAGGAAGAAACTTTTAGCAGAACAGGCTCAGGACAAGCGGCCACTGCTTCGACCAGGCGGTTACTATCGACAGCGGTACGATATTATAATCTTTGTAAAAGCTTTTACTGAAATACACCTAAAAACATTTAACTGTTCCTTTTAGTTTTTCCTCGTCAATCAGAATTAAATGTTTGCAAATTAATGCATTTGTAAGCTAAAGCCTACTTTTATATGTAACCACAATTTTTACTGTTATGACTTGAATAAAATTATATGAAACAAAGTTACTTCAAATGAGGTTCGAAATTTAGTGGTCATAATTGTTAATTGAAATTGTTTACATAAAATGTTCATGTGCATAAATAAAAATACGTAGTTTTCAAATCACTGGTATGCATGTTTTATTACCTGTAGGTATAAAAATGTGACTTAGTGCTTCCTACTTAAAAAAAGCATTTTTAATCATTTTATTTTTTCTTATTCGTATTTGAATGGTATGTGCACTTCTAAACTTGACCTATATAAAGTCTGCACATATAAAAGCTTATATTCATGACTAAATCTTTTGGTTTACCAGGCATCTTTATGAGTCATGTTCAAATACATGACTGTGTGTTTGTGTGTCTGCCTTGTGGGTGGCTCAGTCAAGGAAGTTTTTTAGTATACTCATGTACTCTGACTGTCAGTAAGCTGTCTTTTGAGTTGTCTCCATGCATGTTGTAGTTGACTCATGCTTTTTCTGTTCTTGGAGGAAAGCCCTGCAGTCATTGTGTGTGGGCTGCTGGCTTTACTGACAGATTACTGAACATGTTTGTGATTTAACATGAAAAGAAAACATCCCCGAAGAGCTGCTTCCTCTTCTTCACACCATCTATCTTTTCTTTCTTCCTTTCAGTCTGAGAGGCTTTTTTCTTTCTCTCTCCTCTCCATCAGTTTCTGAGTGTTTCGTAACAACACCTCAGTCCCTCCTGAGATTCTCCAACACATCAATGCTTCATCCCTCTCCACCCTCCTCTCCTCTCACACATCTTGCTTCTCTCCTGCTCCACTGGACCTCAACATCTTCCAAAAAGTCTGGCTGTGTGGCAACAATGGTGTTTCTATTAAGGAGTATAAAAGTAAGTGTTATATAAGGGTAAAACCCAGTGAGCTCCAGTAGTTAAATCTCTGGGTGTCACGGTGCAGCAACAGACTCGTTTCTGATAGGACAAGCCATAGAAATGGAAATGAGGGGTGAGGGTCAGCACAAGAAGGGGGTTGGAGTCTGTTGTGTTTGCTCGCCATCGCTTGTTTGCTCTGTTTTTTGTCTTTGTGCCACTCAGTGCTGATTTTCATCGGTTTCCTCCATAAATCTTAGACTTATTATTCTGTCCCTGCTGCCGTGAGCTGCTTCTAAAATACATGAAAGCCGACTGCTTAAAGACGAGTCACAGACTTTTGTGTTTGCATGACTGCATGTTTTTTACATCCAGTCTGTGCAATAGTACTGTGGAATATTTCTTTGAACACCAATACCGTTTTTTTTTTTCTTTCTGCACATCTCGTGCACTCTAGTTCTGCATACTTTGTGTTACTTTTATAGCCATGCATACATAAAAACATTCAGCTCATTCAAGAGATAAGTGCGATGACTTTTGTAACTTTCATAGGCTACTTCTCAAAACATTTAACTTTCTTTTTAATCCCCACATTGACATTTTTTCAGTTCTTTCTACAACAGTTTTTCTCTTTGAAACCTGCTTCAGTATTTGGACTCTATTTTGGTTTTTATAGTTTTTATCAACAGTTCTGCTACTTTTAGCTTCTAACTAGCTTATTATTTGGTACTTTGATTTGATCTAGCTTTTTGATTTGTAGCTGTTTGTTTATGGCTGTTTGTGAACACAGTATGTTACTGTTTTTATCACTCATGTCACTGCACACGTGGCAGAGTCCGTGTTACAACATGTGAGTCACTGGCCTCATGTTATGAACAATGTAAAAAAAGAAAACATTAAAGTGATTAGAAAATTTGATGGGACACTTCAAGGCCACACTTGTCCAAATGCATAAGCAAAGAAGAATACAAACATCCGACAATAAGCACACGCTAACACCAAACAGCAGGATAAAAGAGGGCCACCATTTTACATCCTAGCGACATCTTCTCTCTGCTGCACAAGATGAACCCCTACACAAACCACACACCCACAAGTTGCATAATTGCAGCGACACAAATTGCAGACGCTCGTTCTCACACACAGAACGCAGCCTTTTAAGCGTCTCTTTCAGTGCACAGCTTCACGTTCTGCAGCAGCACAAAGGCCTCTGTTCGTCTGCGGGAACATCAACACTGACAGACACGCACACAGGCTGATCCATCTTCCCTTCTCACTCCATCCCCCCATCCATCCATCATCTTTGTGTTGACCCATGTTTCCATCACAGCTTAAGCAGCCCAGTGACCTGTGATCTGATACAAGCCCCTGCAAACTGCACAACCGTGCTTTTTAAAAACACGAGCAGGTAATCACATTTTTACACACATTAAAGATAAACATCTCAGTCTGGGAGAACTGAGTGGATGTGACGGATAAAATTTGAGGACCAAGCAGAAAACGTGAAAACAAAATGTCGTGAGTGTTTGCAGCATTTTTTCTGCATGAGTGTCACTGCACGAGGTCGGTCAACTGACTTAACACTGAACCACAGCTCTAACTATTCATCCATCTTTGCCCTGAGATCATTCAGCCAGAATCACAGACCTACTTCTGCTATTGACTCTGCACTAAATAAATGTGTGTGTGTGTGTGTGTGTGTGTTAATAAGACAATCAGCTCTATTATCTGACCATCCTAAATGGAGTACTACTCAGTAAGAACAGTGCTCCGTTTCTTAACAACATGGAAAATAAAGTTATGTGCACGCTCACAACATTGTGAGATGTCAACCTCACTGACAATCTGTAAATTGGACTGAACTGTAGTCCTTGTTGTGCTTTTTAAGGTTAGTTGGCTGTGGTGTCCATGTTGAACTGGGTTAGCTCCAGAAGTTAATCAGCTGTAGATTTACAGCCAGTGATCATTCCCTGGAAGTTTTATTAACATCCAGTCAGTGGTTCATGAGATTTTTTGCTAACAGACCGTCGGCAAAATTTAAAACCAAATTTTGTAGCAATTTGTTATCACTTAATAGTTTTAATAGGGGTGACCTTTAGCTGCTACCACACCAAAACTTAGCTCAACATCTGTAAAAGTGACAGAGTTAGAGACATCTTGTGTTTTTGACGGTCAGTTGGCTGGAGCAGCCATCTTGGTTGACAATGTACATCCAGTGATTACTAACACTAACACTTGGATTTAATACACTTTGAGCTGTTTTAAACTACATATCAGAATCCTAAACATACAAAACTTTAAACTGTTAATGTGAAAGCCCAGTTAGACCAATAAGCAGCTGTTTGGCTCACAGCTGGACAACGACATTTGGTTGAGAGCACGGATGTGAAAGTGATTATCAAACAATTAATTTACACAAGCATCCCCTGCAACATTAACAACAGTACTGTTACAGCAGTGGTGCCGCTCAATGCTCAGTGTGTAGTAAAACTTTATAGCAACGTTTCCATTAACTGGACTTTCAGTAATAGTTGCAACACCAACACAGCAATCCAACGTGCCGCTCACAATATTCACACAAAAACAGCACAAAAGCACATTTCAAAAACAGATACAACTGTGAGAAAATAACAGAAGCCCTCATGATTATTTGCAAAGTGCACCAAAGTATAACATCAATGTTTATGCACTCATTTTAAAGGTCAATCCACCGAGATGTTGACGTAAATGTTGACTGCAGGTTTAACAGTGTTGCTTTAGCTTCAACGCTCTTCCACGCATTCCAATTAAGAAATAGATACGTGAGGGGCTTTGTTTGTTTGTTTGTTTGTTTTGAGTAACGATGTGTCACATCAGCTCAGGGATCAAATTCAACCAACACAACTACCAAGAGCCCACTCTGATTAGATTGACGTGATTACTTTTATTGTAAAAATGTTCAACCACAGTGTGTGTGTGTGTGTGTGTGTGTAGACATGGATGAATGGATTAGAAACTGCTGAGGAACACACTGTAAAGAAGATTATGCAATATGTTTCGATCTCTTGTATGAAAGCAAAAGAAGAGACGTTGCTCTCTCAGTTTGTGTCTGTGTGTTCGTTCTCCACCGCTGCTCTCCTTCAGCCCTCTGTGTTGTGACGAAAGAGATTAATAATGGAGGGATAACATTCCTCTCTACCAAAATACTCTCCATCCCGATTCCTGGGCCTGTGTTTCTTATAGAACACACATCCTCACACACACACTGCAGTCAGGGAGTCAGCGCTGCGTCAGGCAGTTTATGTAACAGCCAAGAGTGTAATTTTGGATCATTTATAGGGGGCATATTAGGGGGAGAAGAGCACAGATAGATATTTTGCTGATCATTTATTATAGAGTCAAATCCCATCATCCTATTATAATCTAAAGTCTAAAAATATTTGTTTGTTCTTCTGTATCCCACTAAGTCAGATACAAGTGACATAAACTTGTGTTTGTTCTTTTAGACATGGGATCTGTGACATTTTCGATTTGATATTTGGAGACTTGTGTGAATTTATTGGGTGTTGCAGAGCCCGGTGAAAGTTTTGCTGCGTTCTCGTTGCTTCGCAGTTGTTGACTTTGTGCAGACGTCCTCGTCTCTGCTCTGCAGCTCGTTGTGCTGCCAACTGCTGTTTTGTCTCGAATCAAGGTAACAGCAGTCGTGACATACAGCAGCAGCCTGTCAGGACTTTGCAAACCCAAAAATATCCATCCGGCGCTTCTTAAATAAGTCATGAACCCGTGTCTGCCACAAGTCAGTCTTTAACTTTCGCTGATAATTGCACTTCGTTTTAAAACCCTTGATCTGTGTCTGTTCTCAGCAACTGAAAATCCTGACAAAGATGAATTTCCTTCCATGCCAGTCTAAATCCTAATCTGACACTACTTTGCTTTGTCAGCTTGCTTCTTTTCTCCCTTTTGTCATCTATCTGAGAATGTTCCAAATATAGCTTCATCCCTCCTTTTAATCCTTCCGCTTGTGCTCTCCTGACGGTATGCATCTTTTTAGTTGTTTCTCTCCACCTCTAAAATCCTTCAGGGAGCCGGTCTGCAGTGCCATCAGCAGCCTTTTTTGAACCCTCTCTAAATTCAGAATAAACTGAATAAGGAGTGAAAAGCAGCTGCCTCACTGCTGCCACCACATAGACAAGAGAACTGTAGGACGGTGCACAGTCAAATTAAGATACTGTTGCCCCCTGCTGGTGTGTAATTAATTCAAACCTGCACACACCCACAAAGTCAGCAGCGTGTTTTCTGATCACTTAGATCTAAACACATTGTACATGACAATGCAGCTGTCATTTCTTTATCCCTCCAAGGGTTCTGCAGAAATCTGAAGTTTATTTCTACCACAAAAAACAAACAAATGAGTCTTTGTTGAGGCAAACAGCACGACCCCTGCTTGTCCTCACACTACATAAGGTTGTGTTTATCATTGTGCGAGTGAGGCAAAATGCTGCTGTTTGCTTCTGGCTGCGTCTGTGCACAACTATTTATATCCCAGTGTCACAGCACCCACACAGGAAGGAATTAAAGGTAGGCATGAAGGATGACATAATCAAGCTGCTCAATGAAACTGCAGCACGTGTGCAAGAGGGGCTTTTCAGTGATCTGGTGCTATAAGACAAGAACATACATGCAGGTGTGTGTGACCTAACAGCACACACACATTCAGACACACTCAGCATGCCTCGGTGTCTGAATGTGTACCTCTAGTTCTTTTCAAATTTGCTAAATTATCAAGTGACTGTCACATAATGAAACACTTCTTATAATTCTGAAAAATTGCTTTTTAAATATTTGTAATACTTTTAAATATTTGTTACACTTTGTAATACTGTGCAAGACACAGTCTTGAACCGGCAAATAAATTCCCCCTGACACTCTTTCCATCCTTCCCAGCCATAGTCTTCTGTAAGTTTTTTTTTTAAATTGTTTTATTACAAGAACACTTGTAATTATCATTGTTGTGTACCGGTACCTTGTATCCCCTCCAGAAAGCCTGGATGAGCAGAGCAGCCTCCTGCTCCTTCAGCCGCAGAAACAAAGGGATGGGAGGCCTGGGGCTGGACAACAGAAGATATTAGACAATATCATCTTAAATGTGTTTATGATTTCTTGACAAATACAATTTTAAGCACTGCACAGAAACATTTACATGATATCTACATGTGTATATAGTGAAAACTGAAAACATTTGCATTCTTTAATGCAACATTTTTTTCTTCCCACAGCATACGAAATACCAATTATTTTTAACACAAGTTAAAAGCTGCTGTTTGGCGTATTGTTTCTATGCTACTAGTGCTTAGTGTGTTTTTAGTTAACGTTTTTCTTTGTTCATATCTTAGATCTTATTACTGTTTTTCTTTTACATTTTAATACTTTTGTTGGATGCAACTGTGTATACAATTTAATTCCACCACATGTACCACAATAAAGAACTTTGAACCTTTAAAAGTACTGATTTCAACATAATTATAGTGAAAAATTCCATGTTTTATATTTTCTCTGAGTATATTTTTTATTTTAATACAATTTATGTGTTTTAATAAACTAAAATAACACAAATGGTGTCAGTGTCCAGAGAGTTAAGTTGTTCCAATATAAAAATGGTAGTGAGTATGTGTGTGTGTGAGAGAGAGACACTCACTGGATGCTCAGCCAGGCCTTAACAAAGGGAATCTCATGAAAGTTCACTGGATCCTGTCCCTGCCTGCAGGGGCTATGACTAAAGAGAAAAGAAAATTCAATTCAATTCAATTCACTTTATTTATTTAGCACCAAATCACAACAAAGTTGTCTCAGGGCACTTTACAGAAACATTCACATACATAAAAGCCAATTAATAAAGTTCTCTATCTAAGAAAAATGAGATGCATTGTTTTTCACATGCGAACTGGATGACATTTGAACAAAATGACTTGATGCAGTGTGTATTATAGGTACGTGTGTGTGTGTGTGTGTGTGTGTGTGTGTGTGTGTGTGTGTGTGTGTGTGTGTGTGTGTGTGTGTGTGTGTGTGTGTGTGTG